TGTGTGTGTGTGTGTGTGTGTGTGTGTGTGTGTGTGTGTGTGTGTGAAAGGGTGGGTGGGAGGGCTTTGGCAGATTTGTCCTTGGGGATTGTGGGTCAGGGCAACGTACTTTCTGGGGAGGCTAAGAGCTGCATGCAAAAATATATAAAATAAAATAAAATCAGGAATTGGGTTTTTTTTAGGGGGGAGGAAGGGAGGACGAATGCATCACAGCTGGTGGTGGAAGGGACCTCAGAGGTCTTCTAGTCCAACCCCCTGCTCAAGCAGGAGACCCTAGACCATTTCAACTCATCAATCCATCCATCCATCCATCAGAATAGAGCTGGAAGGGACCTTGGAGGTCTTCTAGTCCAACCCCCTGCTCTAACAGGACACCACAGACCATTTCAATCCATCAATCAATCAGAATAGGGCTGGAAGGGACCTTGGAGGTCTTCTAGTCCAGCCCCTGCTCAAGCAGGGGACCGTAGACCATTTCAATCCATCAATCAATCAGAATAGGGCTGGAAGGGACCTTGGGGGTCTTCTAGTTTAACCCTCTGCTCAAGCAGGAGACCCTAGACCATTTCAATCCATCCATCCATCCATCCATCCATCAATCAGAATTGAGCTGGAAGGGACCTTGGAGATCTTCTAGTCCAGCCCCCTGCTCTAACAGGACACCACAGACCATTTCAATCAATCAATCAATCAGAATAGAGCTGGAAGGGACCCTGGAGGTCTTCTAGTCTAACCCTCTGCTCAAGCAGCAGACTCTAGACCATTCCAGACAGGTGGCCGTCCCGTCTTTTCTTAAAAACCTTCCCGTGTTGGAGCAGCCACCACTTCTGGTGGCAAGCAGTTCCACTGATTTAATTGTCCTCACAGTCAGGAAGTTCCTCCTTAGTTCCATGGTTGCTTCTCTCCTTGACGAGTTTCCATCCGTTGCTTCTCGTCCTACCCTCAGGTGCTTTGGAGAATAGCTTGACCCCCATCTTCTTCACGACAGCTCCTCAAGTACTGGTAGATGCTACCATGTCACCCCTGGTCCTCCTCCTTTTTGTGAGAAGGAAAGGCCACAGAGATAGGGTGAGCTGGGGAGGCCTACCACTCAAATTATAACACCCCAAGGAAGTTCTCGGCGGCCCCAAACCGATGGAGAAGAAGGGAGAACAGCTTGGGAGGCAGAAGGATGTAGGGAGCACTGAGACCTTGGAAGCCACCTAAACCAACTTCTCGTTGGGAGATGGAGAAGCTGTGCCGAGGTCTGCAGGACTCCTGGACACCTCAAAAGGGTGTGAAAGATCTCTCCTCCAAGTGAAGCTTGGTGAGGTCGCAGTAGCGCAGCTCAAAGCATTCTGGGGTGTCCTTCACTTGTCACCATGGTCCCATGCTTGAGATGGACCCAGAAGATGCTCCCAACCTCAAAGCAACCCAATGTGAAGTCAAGGAAGCCCCCCCCCCATGTCGTCGTGATGCTTGGAGCCACCTGGTTGGATGTGAATTGATGACCAACAATCCCACACAATTGCGTTACAATCACACACAACTTTGTTGTTCAGAAGGGATCTTGGATACCATTCCACCTCAGGGTTAGCCCAGAGCAAAGAGAAAGAGTTTTCAGCAGGTCCATCCCAAGTACACCTAGATGCCTTCAAGAACTTTCTCCCCGTCTCGGGTCACCAGGCTCCCTCCCCAACAACCCACCCTCCGTCGCGGTACTCACACATGGGCTTCAGTTGGCCAATCAGCTCCTCCTTGGTCCATTTCGCCCATTCCTTCTTGTCGGTGTTGATGGAACAGAGGATAGGACCGCATGGCTTTCCACAGTCTTCGATAGCAGGGACGTTCAAGTAGTGCACCAGCACGATATCTGGATTCTAGAGAGAGCAGAGACACAAAGATGGTTGTTCTGACCCAGCTCCCCAAACACGACAAAGTAAACTCAAAGATTCCTTGAATTGGGAATGCGGGCAAAAGGTTTCTCTCTCCCCGCAGGCTAACAAGTCCGTCCGTCTGCGAGATGAGTAGTTGTCTGCCACATCTATTCATCTCCGCCCCCTGCCTTTGATCCCCAGAGCTAGGGTGGGGCTTTGCTAGCAGTGGTGGCTCTTCCGTCCCAAGGACCGGCCCATAGATTTCCACTGCTCTCCTCTCCTCTGCTTCCTGGGCATCCACACGTCAGACAATGGACTCAGCTGTTCCCCCTCTTCCTCATCAGCCACCTCCAGACCTGGGGGGCTGTTGACTCTCCAACTGAGGGTTGATGGACAGCCTACTCCTTACTCTATTCTATTCTCTACTTATTCTATTCTATTCTATTCGTTATTCTATTCTGTTCCTTATTCTATTCTATTCTGTTCTGTTCTATTCTATTCATTATTCTATTCTGTTCCTTATTCTATTCTATTCTGTTCTATTCTATATTTCTTATTCTATTTCTATTTCTATTCTATTCGTTATTCTATTCTGTTCCTTATTCTTTTCTTTTCTATTCTATTCTCTACACCTTATTCTATTCTATTCTCTACTTATTCTATTCTATTCTATTCCATATTCTATTTTATTTGCTATTCTATTCTATTCCTTATTCTATTCTATTCTGTTCTATTCCTTATTCTATTCTATTCTGTTCTATTCCTTATTCTATTCTATTCTG